TACGGTTTCGTGTTGTTTCTGGATATGTCAAGTATTGTTGAATAACTCAGAATTCTATTTCACAGATGCAAAGTCTTCGAAATAATACATTTCTCTCTCTTCCTTCTTTTCTATTTCTTTGATGCCATATCTCTTTAAGAATGCAATTACATATTGTTTTACACCGGTTGTTACTATACGTTAGTATAGTGCACTTATCGTAGCATTTGACATATGCACTTTAACTGTTTGGTAATTGAGTCACAATTAATTTTTAATTTCATCGTTATAATTAATATTTAACGAATGAATTCTTTCTAGCCTTATTAAGTTTTAATTTAAAAATTAATTGTTAACATTCTGTAAAAGTAAGCAGACGAGATTTTGCTACGATGATATAACAAAACTATTGTGATATAAAAACGAAGCTACCGATACTGAACGTTCGATAACGAACATTTCAATATTGCTGCTGTCTCTTGTTATGCAACGTAAATATGTTTCTATTCGGTGTAACATGTAGAAAGTGTGGGTGTATTTTCGTCTGTGGAAAATTGAATGCCAGCAGGTTTTAACGGGATAAGCCTATACGCGCGAGAGAACCGCAACCTACGATAAAAAGATCGAACGAGGAGGAACCACAACAGGGAGAGAACTTTTCTGGAATAAAGCGAAGCAAGAATCTTAAGCATTTTCTCGATGATAACCTTCTGGAATAAATATCGAGTGAAGACTCTTTGCAATCCTTTTGCTGGCGAATTTACGAATTGCATGATAGAAAAGATCCTCTCTCGACGGCGTTTAAAGCGAAAATAGTCCGGGGAAAATCGATTCCGTATTCATCTTTCTATTGTGTGTGGGCGGGATATCAAATACACCTTATTATCACAAAATTTGAAAATAATATTTCGCAGGAAAATTTGTAAAAATAACGTGCGTTATGCTCGGCGTTACTCTCATTTTAATGAGCTCTGTTGCAATCTAGCTAGGATTCTAAATTCTGAATTAAGCAAAAAGGCACTGCAATTATTCGCGGTTAATATTTCAACCTTTAATGCGACCTGCCGCCCGACGAAGCACGGACGTTACCTGGTTTCTAGATATATGGTATGGAGATACAGCATTAACCGCAAAAATCTAATTAGTTCATTTCACGTTCGTCGTGGCTGCATCAAGGTCAAGTGCCTCGTGAAATAATTTGTGACTCCTTTCAGAGAATTATTCTCATTGGGATTTTTCCCTTATTCTCACGGTGATACTTAAGTGTCTTTTATAGCTAGTCGTTTTCTCGGAAAGGCGTTTTCCCGTTGCACTGTAGAAATATCTGGCATGAGAATATTTCAAATGACGACACAAGCGATTCTTTACTTTGCGCTACGGCAAATTATCTGCCATGAAACTGAAAATCAGGAATCGAATTGTCAAGAAAATGGAAAAACATCAGGGAAATTGAGGAAAAGTCAGAGAATTTTGTAAAATTTTCTGAAAAATAAAAATCCTTGGCTTAAAAAAATTTAATATACATTCATCATACTATTATACGTAGTTTTGAAATACCATACTCACTTTAACAATTAAAAATGCAAGCAATGCCAGTAACATTAATAGTAATTTACATTATTATGTTCAATTGATCTCTCAACAAAATATTTAACGGTTTACAAATCAGAACGAAAATCCAAAAATTTTTTAATATTATATTGAAAATCTAGCAATATCTGAAAATCAAGAAAAAATTATGGACTTATAGGATGAGGAATTTGTGACATATTCGCTTTCGTTTTTACGAGAAAAAAAATTTTATCAAACCTTTTATTTGTGATCGCCTTTTCCTTTCAGCGACCTTCCCTCCCTATAATAGGTTCGCTTAACCAGATCAATGTGCCTTTACGTGGCGCGCCGGTAGGTAGTGATAACGGTATTCTTGCGTGGGTTATCGAGTGCTGAAGAAATTAACTGGCGGTCCAATCTCTGAGGAGTTTTCTATATCTACAATAACGTTTGCTTCTGACGCGACCGATTCTACAGAGTGCGGCCGACAAAAAAGCGTATAAAAATTCATTTGGAAAGGATTTGCCGCAGAATCTACGCTGTAAACTAGATTTCACTTCAATGCTTCTGTCGCGAATTCGTCAGAATACATTTTTGCCGGAACACTCTGCATTCGTTATCTGCGTGTAAGGCCATTCAATTTCATCGCATTTACCGAAGCTCGTTGTATAGTAACATGTAAAGCTTCACTGTAATATATTTAATGATCTAGATAAAAGCTTCCAGCGAAAATCAATCGAAACGATATCCGAGCAGGTTACAATACCAGTTATTTCTATTATAACGAGCGCAATGCTCATATTCTGGTGATTTTCTCTTTCCCTCTCTCTTTCTCACATATTCTCTCTTCTCTCTACCTATTTCCTTCATACCGTAGAGTATTGTTGAGGTCTCAGATTCCCTCGTTCACGATAACGCACATTATCATTTATCGGGGAATGTAGTCGTAGCCGATCGAGTGCAATGCTCCATTCTCGCGGACGAAATGTCACTTGGAAGCGGCCTTGTATCGATGTTGTCCGCGGAATGTCGGGCTTCTCGTTGTCGCGCAAGCAATACTATGCGTAATATTTGCGTTAGCCTCTGGTATATTCGTCGAAAATTAGTTCTACGCGATAAATCTATCGGCGTGTGACGTTCACTGTTCGCGGTTATCGGCAATTGCCCTTGACATCGGTGGATAATCTCTCCTTTCTATATCCTATATAAAACAAATTTTAGGATTTACGATCCGAGTACCTTCCGATATCACGGAGCATCTGTCGGTGACATCGGATCAAAATTTTTATCGTTTCTCGGTTTTTTAATCGGAGGAATGTCGCTTTCAAAAGTCTAAATCTTCGAGAAATATATTGTTATTTTATAGGGTAACTCGCTTGGCAATAAAAAACATGGGATATATAGAATATCTCTCGCAGGACGGACCTTTAATCATTCTACGTTTGTCATGGTTCTGGATGTTATCTTCGAATAATGGCTTTTCTTCTGAAGCACAATTGAAAAGAAATGAGCATACGCGCTCCTCTAATTCGAAGAAAGCGATGTTCTGACTAGCAGTTTTCTGCCTCTCGAACTTTAGTTCCTTAAAGCAATTATTCATTTCACAGAATGTGAACTTAGCGTAATCGACTTTGAGATAGATTGTTTGGTTTGAAAAGTGACTAAGTTTTTAATCGAGATTTATGAGAATTTAAGAGGTCACTCAGAATGTTACCAATGTAATCGCATTAATTCTGATAGCTTTAAAGTTCACGATATTTTTTTTCCGATTATTTCAAATAAATAGTTCCTTCAATTAAGAGAATTCATTTTTTTTCCAATCTGATTAATTGTAGTTGAATTAAAAGAAAAAAAAAGGAATAATTGGGGACATGCAGTGATGATGAAAAGGACGGTGAATTATGCATTCCGTTGAGAGTGTAATTTTGTGAATAGCGTTAATTTAAGAGGAACGTTCGCTTCAGAAAATTAGCCTGGCATTTTCCAACTTACAGATTGAATTGCACTTCTCCGATATTACCACAAAAATGCTTTTATTCTATTTGCTCATTTCTTCGTGCATTTCCATTACCGAACAAATCATAAACGAGAGTATTGTTCAACAAAAAAAAAATTCTTTTTCAAACACTAAAACAAAATCAGTTATTTTTTACAGTTTTTTTGGATGCTGAATACCACGCATTTGTTTTTCAAATTGCTCCAGTAAATCATGATTTTGAGAAATTTGCCATTAAAATTGCAAAAAGGACTATTTTTATGTGTTTTTATGTTATAATTACGATATGTTGAATAAGTTTTATTGCAATCAATTGTTAAGTATATTAGTAAGACTTTCAATATATGGCTATGGTTAATAAGATAAATATTCACGGTTTAATGCGAAATCTATTGCGGAAAATTTGTGAATTAGGTCATTAACGATTTATCAAATATCTTTTAACGAATTCAATATTAAAATTAATAAATTCAAAATGATGAATTCAATATAAGGGAATATGTCGCAATTTAGAAATATCTGAATTATTGCAATATATTATGTATAGTATATTATTTTCATGATTTTTAATTATAGGTTATTTGATAAATGATTTATAATTAATAGCTATTCCGTATAATAGATCACGTTTAATTATAATTAATATTTAACCTGAATGGTTAACATAAATATATCTTGTTAGCCATAACTGATACTAAAAATTCCTTTTGAGAATTAAGAATCCTAACAATATATCATTTCAATACGTCACATCGTTACGATATGAAAAAATATGTGAAAATCGCCTTTTTACAGTATTTACTGATAACAATTGGATTGTGTCATAAATAAAAAAGTTGAGATTTATTGAAGTATGTAAGTGGATCTTAGTGACGAAGTTTCACCTCGTCTAATCGCAGGATAGGTGACTCTAGATCGCAAATGTTTATCTTCCTCGTTTTTCTCGGCTGACTTTCGACGTCAGATTGATCCCCGTCGTTAGCTTGAGACTTGCTTCCGTTTCGCTATTAACCCTTCTTAAACCCAACGTCATATAAGGGGCGCCCACGCTGTACCTACTTTAATATACCCTGGGTCTTTTCGAGATAAACAGAAGGGGGAAATATATTTTTCCCGGACCAATTCAAGTGGAACTTCAGCAGGAGTGTTCACGCACTAAAAGCGAGAACGTACTTAAGCTAGGGGAAGAAAGATAGAGTACGTGCGGGAGTTAGAAAATCACTATCTTTGGAATTATTGTTTAATATATCTAAAGATCGGCGATAATTCATGCTTAAGCAGGATTAGCGTTGACAAGATATATCTCTTGTTCATTGAAAATAACATTACGTCTTGTACAATAGTATATATAGAGGCAGAACTTAAGTAATATTGTAATTAATATTGACTATCGCGATGACGCCGTTATTACCTTTCATAATTCATTTTCAAGAGCGTCAAGAAAAAGAGAAAGGAAGAAAGAAAAGAGACTTACCGATCAATAGATATCGCCATCAAAGTGAAGACGCTGGCGCATATAGTGAGAACCGCGATGAACTGGGAAATCTTGCAGTAGAGCGTACCAAACGGCCAGTGGCTATTAAGCATGTAGGTGTAATTGAAGGTGACATTCAAGGTGGATACCATAGCGTCCGCGATACTGAGGTTCACCAGGAAGTAATTGGTGACGGTGCGCATCCGCCTGTGCGCCAGCACGATCCATATCACTATTAAATTGCCGCCGGTCGCCACGATGATCATGCCGGCGAACAAGAGCGTCCAAATCATCTGCCGCCACCACGGAAGCACGAATTGATTCCGCGGCGCCAAATCCGTGTAGTTGGTGCCGTTGTGATAGGTGTCATTGTCAAACCACAGCGTTGTCACGTTCCAGTGAGACGTGGAGTTGTACGTCATCAAATCATCGAGGTTCTGCATCACGAATATCACGGTCTTATATCGCTTATGTTAAAGCTATAGACGAGCGAAAGACCGTCGCCGTTTTCTCCCTGCTCGCCACCGCTATTCAACCGCCACCTTTGTCCGCCTTACCGTTTGCAATTTTCTGTCTCACGGTATCTTTCTTATCTCACCTTGAAGCGTGCTGAGCTCTCGCCCGGAACGCACAATTTTCATTCCCTCATTCACCGCTTCCGTTACTCGCTATTCTTTTTTTTTCCTCCGAGATGCGCCAAATTTTTGGTAACTGATTTTTTTATAATCTCTAACACATTTAAGAAAAAGATATCATTATTCGTCGGGTGTGTCCGTATTGGTTTATCTCTTTCAAGAGCTGAATATTTTCGGGATTCTTCAGTGCTCGCAAAATTTACTTGTCGCTTTATTCAAGGGATAGAAATTTGATGCAGGCAGAAACCAGCGCGGTTATCGTCTTTCAAGGCAAATAACTTACACATTCCTGTCAACCGCGCATACCAGCCAACCAAGTGGGGACGAGCTTTCATAACGCTGACGTAGCACCGAGGCGTTCGTTGCACTTGTTCTCGCGTGATAGAAGGGCACGTTACAATCGAGGCATTGTGACAATTTTCGAGACCTCTGCACTGACTTTTCGTCGTCACGAGGTAAGCTTTCGAATCGTGGTCGAAGAACGGAGGAACATCCATCGGTCGTATTCGCGCTGCTGTCACTGCTCGTAAATTCCGTTTTACGCTCGCCTAGCGTCACCGGTTCTCTCAATCAGGGTTGATCTTTCGTGAGAGCGCATCAACTACCGGCGCCGAAAACACGAGCTTTTAATCCAGGCGTGTCGCATCGCGTCGAATTGCGCGTCGGCGAATCGCGCTTTTTTCCGTCCAATCGATCTTAAATAGGAAAATCGTAGCGGCGCGTAGGACGAATCTATTTTGCGGATGTGCGCGCACTCTCTGTAATCGTACACGTGAAGGATTCATAGTTTAATTATGGAAATCTTTAATTTGACCCTCTTATCGGCCACGTTCTATATAATGTACTTTCAACCACTTGTCGACCACGTACTGATATACTTTCACGCGACAGGACATTTCGTTACTTCTACCGCGGTTTTGGTGGAATGTACGTCGATAATATTGGCACAATTACTACGTGCTTTCACCGATTAAACCGTGGGGCAACGTTGTGACACAGCCGACCGACAGCCCTCGACTCGACGTCCGAGTTCGCTTCCACTTACGTTTCATGCACGGCCGCTCTCCGCAAAATCCGATCGGTTCCCAAACCGCCGATCGGCTGCCACCGAATGAGATTCCATTGTCCTCGCGGCTTATTCGTAGATGAATGCGCTTTTTTTTTCCATCGATATTCGAAGCCCCGATATAACTGTTCTCTTCTGGAGATGTGGTCGTTACTGTGGCGAATTTTCGTATCGGCGCTTCTTTTTGCACAATCAGAGACAAGATCAGGAATCGATGATGATCACTTTAATTTCTCGGCTAAAGGAAAATACCGATGGTTTTTTAGTTTACAAGAAGAGTTTTGTGTTTAATCTTTTTTCCGTCGATATTTGAAGCCTCGATATAATTGTTCTTTTCTGGAAACGTATAATTGTTACTGCGGTAAAATTTTCTATCGGCTTGTTTCTTTTTGCACAATTAGAGACGAAAACAGGAATTGATGGTGATTATACTAAACTCTCGATTAAAGGAAAAAACTAATAATTCTCTGGTCTATAAGAGGAGTTTTTTGCGTTTAATTTATCCGTTGTTGCTCTAACACGTTGCATGTAGTTTAATAACATACTATAAAACGTCGTTGATGTTTCATTGTGAAATTTGCTCGACGGTTTATGATGAAATAGTTTTTGCATATTAATTTCTCACCCAAGTATCGGAAAAACTGTCTCTGAAATTCGCGAGTATATTCGTTGTTTCGCGTTTTGCCCTGAAAGAAAAGTTCCGCCTGGTCTGTCATATGATGAGAACTTTTAAAAGAGCTGAAGTTTTGCGATTACTTCCCATTTGTTTGTTATTCCCAGTTTGCTTGTTTGTTATTCAGCGTTTTTTTTTCATTGTACAACACATTGTACTAATTAGTTCATAACTTTCTTATCACGTTTGACACAAATGGAAAAGTTACGTTCTATACCGACCTTTTACGATTTTGTATGCTTTATGGTCGATTACGTGGGCGGAAAAATTTTCGCATCACGTCGCTAATAAAATCTTCCTGCAGCAGGAAATATCGTCAACTTCTCCTCGTCGAATCACGTGCGATGTTAAGGACACACCTTTCGTTAGCTTCGCGTACTCAATTAAGCATTGACGTTACCTGGAACTGAATCTTCGTTTAGGAGGTCACGGAGTTTTCGTTTGCACTTGGTACACCGTTCGACGTTGCACATTATGTCAGTCATCATTTCTGTCGTCCGACGCGCCTAGAATTTTAAACTACATCTGATTCACTCGTTTTTCTTCACTACTACAATACCGTTCACAATCTTTATTCCCCGATGTTCTTAAAACAAATAGAGAATTTCACTTCGTTATTTCGCGAATGCTCTGGGTGATCTTCTTAATTTTCAATTGGTTTGGACGTTCCGTAGCTCAACGCGGTTATCGTGTGAATCGTAGATGAAATTGTTCGTTTTATAACCGCGAGCGCTTTAAACGATAAATGAAAGTGGTGAGAGGCAGAAGGTAGATCGCGTTTTTCCAGAAAGTTCCCAGAACGTGCCGGAAGAAAGTTTGTTCCACGCTCGCAGGATCGACATGAAAATTCCTCAAGAACAACGTGACTAGTCCCGGGATATATAATCTGTAAAACTTGGAGGAAAGTCTATTCTTCGAGTCTAACAGAAAGTTTCTACGAAAATCGTTGTCGATTAGACGGGAAAGATAAGTCCTCTTTCCGACGTCGGTGAAATGCCACTCATAAGCCGGACATTCTCGTGGAGGGTAAGAATTTACGTCGTGGCGTCTATTTCAAGCACGACAGAGTACCTGGGGCATTCTTATCCCCCTCGCTGAATTCCGCATTCATTTGGAGACTCCTCCGTGCGACGTGTCTTTATGTTGACGAATTTCTCCATTGTGATGCCATCTCGATCTGAAAAAAATACATTAAAAGATCGAAATTATTCTTTGTAAGTTCGAATCAAATGCTGCTTGCGCGGGAATGAGGACACAAGGGCATGAATTATCGCGCGATTTGTCCGCTCTGCGCCGAACGGAAACGCTCGGTCTGTACGTGGGCGAAAAAAACTCGAGAAATGTGAATGTACGGCGGATGAAATCCGTGAAATTTCATCCGTCTCGTTCGGGATATCGATAAAAAAAAGGAGATATGGTCCGAGAAGCACGTTTGCAGGAGGGCGCGGAAGAGAACGTGCCTGATTACGAGCCGTTGAATTTCCCAAAGGAATTTAATTATAAAACCGGACCGCGTCGATCGTCTTGATTAAGATGTCGGATAGGATTGTGTTTCGTGTACCCTCAGATAATTATTCTGCGCGATTAATATTATCCTTTCCAATTTGTCGTTTAATCGACTTCCATTGAATAAAATTGCTGACGAAAAACGCCTAGCAGGGAAATTATTTTGTTGGACAACGCTGTCGTAAAACAACAATTATTTATGACGATCATCTTTATCGCACCATTTTGGCTTGATACCGCTATTCTACCTGCGCACGTATATTGTGCAATGTTCGTTTAATTTTCTTTTGTCTAACACTGTGGGATGTCATTTACTTAATTGCGCCGCGGAACCTTGTTATTCTTTCTATTATTCGCGTTATCTACGGTAAGCTCTTCGTATATTGTAATGTGGGATATTACCGGACTGAAAAAATAGAAACAGTTGTATTCGCTTCTTCGGACAGGATAATAGTTGATATATAGTACGATAACAGTAATTGATATTGTTCTAAAAGAGTATTTTTCCCGGGTACGCGATACATTTTTGTGCTCTTCATCTTTGTCGAGTACCGAGTGATTTGCGATAACGTATAAATAAACGATATGTACGATGTTAGAATTGAGATTGTTTTCGCTTACAACGCGGTACTTCGCGATAGTCTTAAATAAACGTTCACTCGCATTGTTTGCTCACGAAATGCGCTTTACCGCATGATACTTGGTTCGGTCTAACGCCGTGACCCCATTCGGGATGCATTATATGTCGTTAATATGTCGTGCGCAAAAACGAATTGTTGTTGGAACGTCTAGCGAAAAATTTACGCGAGACTTGACACGTTAAGAACAACAGTTTTCCTGAAGTAGTAAATAATAATCGGCACCGTAAATAGTTTCATTGTCGCAATCGTGGTGGGAAATCGCGAGATTAACTGCGAAATTATGCGAACGCTGGGACCTTTTTGCTTATACACGCGTACATTTGAATAACGTCGCGCTATATGAATTGCAACCAAGCCGCACCACCACCGTTGGTAACAATTACTTTAGGTTGTTACGTTAGTGTAGAATGGAAATCAGAATTTATGCAGCTTGCCTTCAAATGAACAACAGGATTAAAATAACATATCACATCGAAAACATTTGTTATTCGCATTGTCGCGCGTACTAAATGTGTTAAAATATGCAGGTCTTATTTTTGAATATTTTTACACCATACATCCGTTAATTTCCATTAATTTATACAATATTTATATTCAACATACATGTTTCCACATTTATTGTTTCCTCTCTCGTATCCGATAACTGTTGCACGTATACATTCTGATATTTCATACTCTGTGTAGCTCGGTATTAATCGGGATTAATTGGCCAGATACCAAATATGTTCTCTATTCTCCCGTTGTCGCGTTGTTCACAAACCGCTCAATAATTCTGCCGGAGAGTTCTTAAACTATGCGTGCACCACGATTACTGCGGTATGTTCTCCGACTATCCTGCGATTGCACGCGCCGTTCTGCGGTAGAATGAGTAGCAAGTGAAATGGAGCAATTAACGTTCGAATATTGTTCCTGAATCTGAAAA